GAGAGAGAGAGGGTGATAGTTATTGCTATACGAAGGAGTCAGCTCAGTCATCTTCAGCACTGTAATAATTAAAGCGTTTGTGTGTTCCGCTAGTTAATTGAGTATTTTTGTTTTGGATATAAACGCCCGAGCTGTACTTTTGTGTGAAAACAACCACAGCTCAAAGAAATGGGTACAGTTTAGAAAGTACTGACTGAAGACTGGCTTGAGAAGGAGAAAAAGTTGGGTCGATGGTTTGTATGTACTGTAAACTGAACTGCTCGCTCGCTGATGAGGTGAATTGAAGGGTGTGAGGGTGTGTGTCTGCAGACTGCGTAACAGTAACACATAATCTGACTGTAACAACGACAACTGAACGATATTTTTACCTCGCAAACACTGTAGACTGTAATAGACTGGCAACAAGAACAACTGGCACTCAAAGCAATCGTCGAAATCAAGAGCAAAGAGGAGTCAGGAGTGATCCACTTTGCTTCCGTCTGCCTGCGGTGGTGGTAGTGTACAAGGACACAATTAGTTTTAACAAGAAAGAAAAGAAAAAGAAGCTAGAAGAGACTTCACATTTCAACTTAAGGAAACAGTGAGGAAAGTCATGATAGGTATAAAGTGAAATAAAAAAAAGATAGAGCGAGCGAGAGAGCATTTGGTAACATAGAATAGAGTAGTAATAGTAGCAGTAGTAGTTGAATAATATCACACGACTTGAAAAAACGTTGAAAATTGCCTAAGAGTGGATGATGATTGAGATCGACGAGATGGGTCTGATTTGCTTTAAGAAAAGCACACCATAAGGGAAAGAATCGCCCGAATCGACCATCAGGGACACATTTCACAGAAAGTACAGAATACAGAATAGTGATAGTAGAAGTGGTGATGGTGGTGGTGGTGGTGATATTATGTACAGCAGCAGAAGAAGAAGAGGGAGAGGAAAGTTATATCGCAAAGTGGAAACAAAAACATAACGATTTTTGCTTTGTCGGTGTTTGACTGTGTGTCTGTCTCTGTGTGCCTCTGTTTGCTCATCATCAGCAGTAGTTAGTGTCGATATGAAAGTAGCTGGGGGAAAAGGGAAAAGGGGAAAAACTGAAGAATTGGAAAAGAAAGAAAAAAGCAGCATAACTTGAAGACGATCTTTACACAGTGTGCAAGTGGCAGTTTTAGTACGATGGATGGGCAGGAGAAAAAGAAGAAGAATTAAATTTAACTTTTTTTTCAGGAGAGGGAAAAATAAATAAACACATCAAAGGCCAACTGCTGCTGATGTTGATGCTGTTACCGCTGAAAAGCGAATCAATCACTTTACACTTTGATTAGATTTCAGACTGTATTTTCTTTCACTAGCGTTTGTCTGTCTGTCTGTCTGCTGCTGCCGCCGTTTTGTCGCTCACTTTAGGTTTCTGAATCTCCCCAAAGTCTTCACGCTTTCATTTGTTCAGATAAAAGATAAAAAAGAAGAAAAAGAAAAGGAAAAGTGGCATTATTGCTTTGCATTGGGCGGCTGAGTCTTGATTGAGCTCAGTCTCAGGGTGAACAGAGAAAAAGACAGCTGCAAAAAAGAAACGAGTGAGAGAATGTAATCAAGTGACTGTGTGTGAGTGAGTGTGAGTGTGTGCTTGCTGTGTGAAAAATTGATTGAGGAAGGAATTTTTCGGTGCAGCCTTCAGAGTGCTGTAATGCGATTGCAGCAGTTAGGCCTGGCTGGGCCCTGGTGCTAAATGGAATTGCTGCTGATGTCAGAAGTCCCCCGAGAGACCGTAGTGCTTTTTTCTAGTTCAGAGGAATCCATCGAGCACTGCACACTCTTTCACACACACTGACGCTTGGCTCATTCTCTGCTGTTGATTGTCAAAAATCACTTTGAAGAAGTCGAAGAAGTAGGAAAACAAAGAAAGAAAGAGAGGATGGGAAGAAAAACTTTTTTCTAGCTTCATTATCATGGTAGTAGTAGTGGAGTGATTGTTCTTTATCATATTTCTCGCCTTTATCCTACAGAGTGATTCTTGCAGGAGCAGCGGAGAAGCAGATCAGATCAGAAGAATGAAATTTCAAGGGTTTTTTAGCTGGTCAGTGGTTTAGGTTTTTGTGGTAATGTGATTGTTTTGTGAAATAGTGGATAGTCAGTAGAGTGAAAGTATTGTTTGCTGATTGAGACAGTGGCCAGCTGACAGTGATGATTGACTTCAAGTTTAAAAGAGTGTCTTTTCGTAGCTCTCTTTTCCTTCTTCACATTTAAAACAGTTAGACGCATGAAGTTTTTGCAGCTGCATGAGGAACTAAAAACTGGCTACAGCGTGGGAGTTTGTGTGTGTGGAATGGTAGTGATAAAATACAAAAAATAAATTCATGAGAATAGAACATAGAACCTAGAACGTAGAAACAATTGGGCCTATTGAGGAGATTGAAAACAGAGATTATTGTGGCTGAGAGCGCCTGACGGAGACCAAAAGAAAGAAATCAAAATTGAACAGCGGTCTCATACGAACGAACTCTTGTTCGGCTCATTGTGTGCTCAGTGAGAGTGGCTTGGAAATGGTTGAAAATTGGTTGGGTTTGGTAGATAAGGGTGATTCGATCCAGTGGTGCTGATGTTGTAGGTGTGTGTTTGTGGGTGGGGTGTGTGAATGAGTTGGTTTGTGATTGAGAAACAGAGCTTTGGGTTATAGGTTACTCATGGGCTATTTTAGGTCTGAAGACCAAAGATGATGCTGATGATGATGTGTGTGATGATAGTAAGTGTGACCAGACTATGATGGCAATGATGTAAGTTGAGTCAACGAAAGATAAGGGTTCAAGGAAAGTATATGATGATGACGATGATGAGATGCAAAATAAAGTGACTAAAAGATGCGCGGAAGAGTGTTTTTTGAACAAAGGATGAAGAAAACACAGGCGGTTTGGTCAACAAAAAAGGGAGAAGGGAAAGAAAACAGAGGAATGTTGTCTCGGTACAAAAGGCAAATAATGAAGGTCAAGGTGTGTGTGTCTGTGTAGAGAAAAAAAAGAGGGAGGATTGTCTGTTGGCGAACGCGCAGAAAGGAAAATAAAATGATGAGATGATGATGATAATGGTGACTGCCCAGGTGATGTGCACCTCTTGCTGGGCGAGACTAGTCAAACACTGCACAAGAAAAGAAGATAGTTCTGTGGTCGAAAATGCATTGGCACAACAGCAGCAAAAGCAAACACAAACGAAATAGAGTGAAGATTGAAAGAAGACTAGAGAAAGGGTGTTGGTCAGAAAGGAAAGGATGCAAAAGATGATGGTGGTGGGGTGATCATCTTGCCCATATTAGTCAGTCCGACTACCAGGTTCACTGGTACTGACTGGACGGCTGCACGTACTGCGCCCGAGTCTCGTAGAAGGAGGCGCCAGCGGTGTTGTTGTTGTCCACTGCGCCATAGCCGCCCGCAGTGCCATTGCTGCCCCAGGCGGCGTTCGGGTCGTTATAGCCGCCGCCATAACCGCCGACTCCTCCTCCGGGAACACCGCCTGCCGGTGCGAATGGATTTGTCGCAGTGGCCCCCGCCCCGGTCTGGTCGTCCCAGGTGCCGTACTGCTGCTGTTGTTGCTGCAGACCACCAGTGCCGTCGCCCCAGGCCGAGGTGGGCTGCGTCAGCTGTGCCCCGGTGGCCCCATAGTATCCCCCGCCGGCATTGCCATCTGCCCCAGGAGGCGGCAACGCCCCCGCCGCCGCCGTCATCTGCTGCTGTTCCATCTGCAGCTCGGTGAAGTCCTTTGGTGGCTCTGCCCAGTCCTGCAGCTCACCCGAGGCGAAGATGGCGTAGAAGATGACGCCGCAGATGTGAATGACGCCCGCCAGAATGAACACGTCCTGCCACTCTTTGTGACTCTGTTCAAAACAAAAAACAATGGTTGTTAGTTTACAGTGTTTTTGGCACTGCGCATGTTTTTGTGGTCTTTTGTTTGTCACCTGTTCTTTGGTCATCTTATTGACGACAATGGGACAGAGCATGCCGGCCAGTGTGCCGAAACCATTGGAAATGCCCATTAGGATACTGGCGTACCGAGGGGCAATGTCCAGGTGGTTTACGTTGAAGCCTAGAAATCGAAAAGTAAAGTTAGTCATTTTGTTTTTCCTTTGCTCATTTTCATTTTTATTTTTGTAGAACAAACCAAACCAAGGTGAAAACATACTTATCCGCTGAGGTCGGCGTCAAGGGTCATTGGTCATGGTCAGCCAACAGTGGCGTAGGCGACACAACTCAATGACCAGGGCTGCAGTGCAAGTGCTGGAGCTGGTAAGTAAGCTTTCAGCGACCAGCACTGCCGGGCAGCCCTAGTACACAAGACACTGACACTCTGAAAGAATGGAAGCCTCTCTAAGTAAGTAGCACTACTACTGATTAGCCAAGTGGTAGTGCCAACTTTGGCAATTGCTGTAAAGTATTTGTAGAAAAAATAGTGTTTGATGAAGCACAGTGGAAGGCAGAAAAAATGGTAAAAAAGAAACGGTAAAATACAGTATTAGTAGTGTTTCCAGTATATTCAAATGCCGTGAATTAGCATAGCAAATTTACTAAAGTTAACTGACGTTTTAATTTTATTTTTGTTTTTGCCTTTTTCTAAAAGAATAAACATTTTTCATCTGCCTAAAACTTTGCTCCCAAAAGTTGCACCTCAACTATAGTTCTGCAACTTTTTTGCCTAATAATAATAGTGCAAAAGAAGATTATTATCCTGAGTGAAGAGTACCCAGCACATTTAGGGCACAAAACGGCATTACACCAGCAGCAACACTCTTCAACCAGGTTGCCTCGAGTTTCGAGTTTTGGGGTAGTAGGGCAACTATACCAGCAGCAGCAGGCTATCAGCACGATATCCCAGGTGCCTAAGCACTAATTATGTGTGTGGTGGTATAAATATAATATAATTAGGGCAAGATATGGACATGAACAGAGACGGAGTAGAAGGGTCCTGGCCTGCTTGGCGATTAGTGCAAAACCAGCACAACCTGAAACAGCACAGCAGCAGCAGCATTCGCCACTTTGCCATGACAACAGGCCAGACAGCTGCAGACTGGCTACTCGTAGGATCGAAAGGTCATATACACACACACTTGGTTGTGTGTACGATCGATGGCGGTAGTTCGACTGTTGGAGGTGCTGGTGGTGGTGGTTGTCCAGCACTCGGTTGGTGGGCAGGCAAATAACAAGCAGACAACAAATACACAACAACAACAACGACAATAACAGCAACAACAACAACAGAAGAGGGTAATCTTACCGGAGATGGCAAAGCCGCTGAAGCCGACGGCAAAGATGAGCGCAATGATGGCGAAGGTGGTGTTGTCGGTGCTGCCGACCAGAATGAGGAAGAAGGCCTCCATGCCGAAGCCGCCGCAGTTGAAAACCTTCCGCACGTTGGTCGTCGTCAGGCGACCCGAAGTGCGCAGGTAGTCGGCCAGGTGACCGCCAATCGGCACCACAATGGCCATGCACAGGTGAGGCAGTGCACCAAGGACGCCAGACTGAAAGGGGAAAGGGAAAAGGAAAAATGATGGTTGACCAGTGCGAACAAACTACTGTACAGTTCACTACCTTTCCGACGTCAAAATTGAAGACCTCCTTGAAATACATTGGTTGTGAGATCAGCAAAAGATAGAAAGTCCATGAGCGGCAGAAGTTGGCGATGATGATTGCGTAGACTGGACTCGAGTGAAAGATCTGGGACCAGGGTGTGGTTTTAAGCTGTGTATTTGTGTTGGGGGATGGACAAAAAATAAATGAGATTGCTGACAATGGAACTCTACTACTACTGAAGCTAATTAATNAAGATCTGGGACCAGGGTGTGGTTTTAAGCTGTGTATTTGTGTTGGGGGATGGACAAAAAATGAATGAGATTGGTGACAATGGAACTCTACTACTACTGAAGCTAATTAATTTTTCATAGCGACGGTTGTGCTACGATAGACAATAGCATTCAAAAAGGAACAAAATTTGAGTGAGGGTGCTAATTAAAAATTAAAACTTTTACATTGCCCCACATCTGTGGTAATTGCTTTTTAGCTTAATTAGATTATACCCCAAACACTGGGAATGACTGACTGCTAAAACTATTTATTGGCAGCAGCAGCAGCTGGGCACAATTGTAATCGAACAAAGCAGCTATTTACGATCGGGCAATTTATTAGGCGCTAGGCACACACACTCGGCGAGGGCTACTACTCATTACTACTCCGCTATTGATCGGTCAAACGGTTTTTTACAGCACCACTAGTCTATAGCTAGTTAATAGCAACAGTAGTAGTAGTAGTAGTTGCACTTACGGTTGGTGGTTTAAACGCCACTACACCGATACTGGACTCGATGTAGGCAAGCTCTTCACGACTAATGGTCGGGTGTTTGGAGGGCTTCTCGAAGGATAACCACAGCCAGCTGGCGTACCACCCCAGACCGAGCAGTCCTGCAGAAAACGATTTTTGTGAGGATTGCTAGTTAAGGATTTGAAAAAAGTATCCCAATCTTTTACCATAGAAGTAGAAGCAGGTCTCCCAGCCGATCCACTTGGTGAGAAAGCCGGACATTGGCAAGCCGACGACGGCACCGGCGTAGGAGCCGCAGAAGGCCAACGTCGCCAGTCGACTGCGCTCCATCGGCGGTGCCCAGTGGCGCCAGATGCCGTGACAGGCGGGGTACGTCACGCCCTGCAAGAAGAAGAGATGTGACAAATAGGTCAATTAAACATTTGTGGTAATAGCTCAAAAACTAACCTCGACCAGGCCCTGGAGAATGCGCACAAACATCACATAGCCTAGATGCATCTTTGCCGCACCAGGCAGCAGCATGTTGAGGAACGCTGAGATGGCGATCGCTGTGCCAAAAACCCTGTGCAAGAAAAGGATTAATGTCAATCAGAAAAAAATAAAATAACACTTACATGTTTGCTGGATAACGAGAAGCCAAAAAGCCGCCAGGTATTTGCGTCACCAGGTAACCCCAGAAGAAGGAGGAGTCTACGACGCCGATGGTTTCCGGTGTCCAGTCAAACTCAGGTTTCTGTTTAGAAAAAAAATAAAAGTAGGTCAATAATTAGTACCAAGAGATGTACTATTGAAAATGGCCCACTAACACAAACACAGAATTGGAAACCGATATTTAGCAGTAAAGTCAATCACATAAAACTAAAAGGAAGTCTCAAATAAATTAAATTGCACTTTTTACAAAAAAAAAATAAAATTGTAGAACGGCAATACAATCGCCCATTACATGTAATTCCTTTAAACTGCAAATCGATTACTTAATGCTAACGCAGCGTTTGCCCTACATTTTCCTACATCATCTCATTGGAGAAAAAAAATTGGCAAAGTGTCGGCGGTAATGGTGATAGTGGAAACAAGACTAGGATTTTAAAATGGAAGAGAAATAAAGTTGCACTGTTTCCAAAAAAGAAAAAATGATCAAATCAAAATTAGTTGTCAGAAAACGAGAGATATAGTGCACCACTATCACCAGGCTTTAGGCGCAATTGACGCCAGCATCATCGTCCTCTTCAACTTCTGCACAGTGAATATCAGGCTTACAGTGTCGGTGTGATTAGTGTCGGGGCCTCTCATTGAGGGACTTGCCTGCTACATTGGTCTTAGTGTGCTGATGCTAGAAAAGTCGCTTACTCTTCCTTTCTTTCTCCTCCTCCTCCTCCGCCTCAAATGGGCCCCTTAAGCCGTCCAATGCCAAAATGACTGCACACACACTGCAAACTAATCAAAGAGTGCAAATAAATGTTGGCTTCAGCTCAGTTCTTTCACCCTCTCTTTCTTTTTTTGCTAGCGGTGTTCCCAGAGGCGAGAAACGACTGACGAAAGTACTGGTACTGCACAAAAAAACTTTTTCTGTTTGTCTGTTGAAAATTCTGACTGGTTGAAAATTGTTCCGTCTGCCCAGTGACCGAGCTGCTGCTGCTGGCCCAGTAAAGCTCTCTGAACTGTAAAGCACACAGACACACAAGCAGACAGTAACTTATTTAATCAAGTCGATTAGAGCACAGAGGGGGTGGGCAATGTGAAAAAAGTGTGTGCACTTTTACTGTCTTTTAAACCCCTCTTTCCTTATCCTTTTGGTGCACTATCTCTCCTCTTTTTGCTTTTCCGGTTTGCCAGTTCTCTCTCTCAGTGGCCAGTGTGCAACTTTCAATTTGCCCCAGCGGCAGTGCTGATGCAGAAAAAGAAGAAGAAGTAGTGCGTCCTAGCTTTTTCTGCCCTTCTTCTTCTTCTCTCCTTTTAGATGCCATTAATTTAA